TAACAAGTGCAGTTTCAAAAGTGATCACACTGACAGTTTTCTTAGTCCTTAAAAGCTGACTTAAACTCCCATGCAGTTATATTTATCTTATTTATCAGCCAAAGGGAATGTCTGTGGACACAGAGAACGTGGAAATCTCAAAATAATTCGAATAAACACAGCACCAAAGTGAGGTGTGAGTAATTATAAGCTGATTAGTTTTATGTGTTTATGTAATGCAAAGCGCGTGTGGTGGCGTATTGATGTCGCCAGCTATCGGTAAATATGTAACTGAGCTCACTGGAAAGTTTTACCCCGCTCTTATAATCGGAGGGGATTTCCAAGAAATGCAACAACACCGCAGCAACTTCAAGAACCGAGGATTTTTATTTATTTACATTTGCCTTTTTAACAGCTTTTATCAGACAATTACCTTCTTTTAAAAATCAGGATCGCGCACATTTTGGAGGAAAGGTGGACCAAAAGCTGCGCACAAGGCTGCCCGCAATAGAACTAAAGTTGTTTCTTTGCGCAGAAATCATGACTTACCTTGGTGGGTGGCTCTTTGTCGGACAGGTGAAAGCAGGACAAAAATCACAAGCGACCTCCAGCCTTCAGATCTGGCTGTTAATTCTTGCCTTAAGAACGAGGACTTCCGTTGCACACGCCCACTCACACGCACCACGTGATTCTCCAGAAATCGTCCTGCTGGGTGCGCAAAGCTGGAAGCCGCACAGCTCGACATCCGGCAAGTCACAAAGTAAAGAAAAATAACAACAGCCAGATGTTGAAACCCTGAAAACAGCTGTTTTCTGTGCAGGTTTCAGCTCCGTTTGGTGGGCTGTTGCACATCAGCGCTCATGAACCCGTTTTTATCCGTTTTTTTCCACAATACTTTTTCTTTCTTCACATTTTTATTGCACTGTTGTGTCTGTATCGGTCTGTACTGTCTGGTGTCTTTGTTTTGGATTTTTGCACATTCTTTTCCCCACACTGCTAAATCCCTGTAATCTCTTCCCAACAACCTTTTTCCTATTTAGAAACAAAATTACCCTCTACAACATGGGTCTCACACTGGCAGCCCGGGTGCCACTATATTGACGTGAAGAAATATAATGCAGTTTGGCTCTTGAAGTTACTTTTTTTGTTAGGGAAGATTTGTTTGTTGTTGAGTGCAATGCTAAAATAAGTTATTTAAAAAGCAAAAAATGAGTTAATATGAAGGCAATATGAGCAGAGAGTACAAACATGTTGAGGGATTGGCTGATAGTTCAGTGAGAGAATTATTTGTAAGGAAAACTATTTTCACTAGCAGTCAAAAACTATGTCTGCATTTCTATTGAGTTAAATACAAAAGAATTTACAGCAGAAGTGCTGCCAGAAGTCTGGCCAGAAAGAGAGTCCCAATGTGATTGGGGGATTTGTTCACATTTGCAGTTTCGTCTTGTTGTACAATATTAGAAATTTGAAAAAACAAACAAAACACTGGGAATATTTGTGGGTGTTTTCTCATTTGTTTGTACTACTTGAACACTAAAAGGGTCCTCACATGAGATGACAGTGCCAGCAGTGGCCCACAGCTCATTTAAGTTTGAGAACCCTGCTCTACAATGTAGGCAACAAAAAAATAACAGAGCTATGTTTTATTATCCTCCTTTTTTCTGCTCATGTTCTATTTAACTGATTTAAGCTGAACACATTTATTAGAATTAAAATTTATACTGAAATAAAGTTTATACTACTATGTTATTTTATTATTAATACAGCACAAGATTCAGTTGCCTTTGTACAAAAACAGCTGGTAGAAAAGTCCTCCAAAGAGCTAGCTGTACATTCTTACTTTGAGTACATATCAGAGACACTACTTTTTTACTTGAGTAAAGAAGTTGAATCAGTACTTGGATTATGTTTTAAACACTAGCATCTGTACTTCTACTCAAGTACAGAAGGTCTTACTTTTGGCGCCTGCGTTACTAATCAGAAGATCCAGGGTTTGATCCCTCGGTCCTTCAGTCTGCATGCAGAAGCATCCCTGGACAAGAACTGGCACTGACCCCCATCCATTCACTGAAAAATGCTGTAGCTCCACCTACCAGCCCCACTTCCATGTTACTTTTCTCTAAACTAGAAGTCGCCACATTTGGATGAGACGATGGGGAGCTGAGCTTTCAGCTAACAAGTTCCCTCCATTACTCACACAGGTGTAACTCACAGAGACAGAGTCCAGAGGTCAAATTCTGGGACTCGAAGGAGTGGAAATGCCGAAAAGACATTTAACACCTGCCTGTGTCTGAACACACCTGTCAGTCAAAGCACCAAGATTTACTTTTTATTTTGGCATTTTTGATCTTCTGTAATACAAAGTTGTACTTTTTAAGTCAACATATTCTTTAAAAAAAA